CCAATGGCAAGCTGATATGATTGCTAAAATAAATTTCCCACATTTGCTACCACCTAAGTATCACAAGCAGTCATGGAGGCAAAAGAAAAACATGGTTAGGTAAGCTATTGAACCACTTTCAAGCTATAGTCCTAAACCTAAAAACTTGAAAAGTTATAACTTGGAAACCAAGTGTTCCATATGTAATCAAGTAAAAATGAAGTAGGGAGTAACAACCAGGTATATTCAATGCATCTCATTTTAAAAGTTTTGTATATTCAAATTAAGATATGGATTCATATGTGATGTTTGTTGGTTAGGTACCATCACAAAGGCAAAAGATGAGAGCACCTCAAGGCAACAAATCAACTCAGAGAGTTACAAGACAATCAAGGTATAAACAAGCATCATCTTCTACACAATTCAGGCAAAAACAATCAATAAGTTGGGTTTCTTTTATTTAAGTTGTAAGATCTCACATCGACCGACGGAGAGGGGGTGATGTACCTTATATATACATGCCCGCCTCCATCTAGCACGAGGCCTTTTGGGAGCTCACTAGCTTCGGAGTCATGGGAACTCCGAAGTTAAGTGAGTTGGGGGCTAGAGCAATCCAAGGATGGGTGACCCACTGGGAAGTTGGTTGTGAGCTCCTAGAAATAAAACTGTGAGGGCAGAGAGGGGGGCCCAAAGCGGACAATATCGTGCTACGGCGGAGCCGATCCGGGATGTGACATAAGTAGCATTATGAAACTCTTAATTTGTTTATTTTAGTAACTGCTTATGTTTATCTAACTCTGCCACAATTTTCAAATTATATCAAAAGTTGAAAAAAAGACCAATAATGACCAAGCATCTTCTCATCCTAACAAAGCTCCTTAACCATCCCCACGAACTAGTTCAACCATCTCAAGCTTCTCAGTTTGAACAACCATATTAGTCTCAAGAACCAAATTGGTCTCATCCTTAAGCATCTCAACCTCCAGAAGCTTCTGAAAAAAGGAAAGTTAGGTTTAAGTCTCCAACTAAGAGGAAAGCATTCTTGGCAAAGTTTCAGTCATGTAGATATTGAAAATGCTCTGCTCTGTTTTAGTTATCACATGTGCTTTGGGTCAGAAAAAGCATATGAATATGTTTTGATGGGTTGAATGTTGGTTTTATGTTTTGCTCTGTCTTGGTGAACACATGTGATTTTGGGTAGAAACTGTTTGGCATTGCCATGGATATCCCAGGTGCATATTTAGTCTTATTGTATTTTGTTTGTGAATTTCTATGGATTGAACAGGTGCATATCCAGTCTTCTGTATTTTGTTTTGGCATTGCTATGGATTGAACATGTGCTTACAAAGTCTTTCTTTTAAGTTATGTACAAGTTATTAATCAATGGTAGCTTAAAAGCTTTGAAAGGGTTAAAGAATTCTAGGTCTATACAAAAGTGTTTAGTCTTGACCATTACAAAAGGGCTTTGAAACAATTAAATTTGCAAAATGCTTTAGCCATTACATAAGCCTCTCATCTCACTAAGTTGCTATTCTAATAGGTGCATTACACCACATTACATCACATTGCCTAACTTTCAAACATACCACATTGCCTAACTTACATTACACCACATTGCCAAACTTTACATTACATAAGTAACATTGCCAAACTTCACCCTAAACACAAAGGCCCATAAAATAAAAAGAGCAATCCACAACTTCTTCTCTCTTGTTCTCACACGCCCGATTTGATCTTCAACTTCTCTCATTGTCCTCAACAGCCAAGCCATCAGTGCTCTCTCACGAGGAGTCATTTCAATATCAACTCATACAAAAAACCCACAACCATTTTTTCCCCTTTGCATTCAAACAAAAGTTCCATCACATTCTCACAATTTATTGTCCAAATTTCGATAAAATAGCAAATCCAAAACCTACCCTTGACTTTGGACACACAAAGAACCTTCGAAGTGGGTTCGACTCTGTCCAAGAAGTCTACAGCCTTGTAAGCCTCCCAATAAGGTGTAGCAACGACCATCTCTTCTCCTCTTGGAGATTCGTGCCTCATCTTCATACCCTTTAATGGAAGAAAGATAGAGAAATTTTTATCTGGGTATGGAACTTTCAATCCTCAAAATGGTGGTAAGTAAATTTTGTTTTTGGGGTTCAGAAACCCTTTTATCAAAAAAGAAGAGAGACTATTGTAAATTGGGGTCCACTTGACCCCTTGAGCTGCTTACATTTCAATTTTAAAAGCATGTGGGGTCCACTTTGCCATGCATGACTTTGACTATGCTCAGCAATTGGCCACCGTGTGTGCTTGTACCATAATGACCCTGCCACATCAGCATTTTTGACAGTGTTTTGGATGGCGTTAACGATGGGGGGTAAAGTGGAACAAAAAACCACGGTCAAGGGAGTTAAGTAGGCCACTGTAGGGGTCTTTTTGTTCCAGCGGCCTGACGAATGGGCTTGGGCTGCTGTAAGAGGAAAACGAAAAAAACACCTCCTGAAGCCTGAGTTCAAGAACTAGGCTTCCAAAAGAATTTTTGAAAGACTTGCTGAAGCCTTAGAAAAATACGTATGGGTTCTTTTCACCAACAACCAGAAGAACGTATCAAATTCGTTAATGACTTAGCTTGAGGAGCTTGTGGCATGGGAGCTAAGCTTTCACAAGTTTAGTAATTTGAGAGAGAGAGATCAAAGCATGAATTTCTTTTAGAAAAGAAGGTTTAGAGTGGAAGAAGGGGGAATTAGGAGAGTTTCTATCTCAGAGGGAGAGAGAAACGATGGAAATAAAAGATGAGGTAAATTCCAGTTTGCTTGACAAAGCTTGGTCATGCTCTGGAATGGTGTGTGTTTCTGGGTAGAGGAAGCTTTCTTTTATAGGCATTTGGAACCCTAATTTCGTTGATCCTCCATTCTCACTTTTCCTTTGCCTTTTTCCAATTACTCCCTTTCTTGTGAAATATCTTCGATCAGAGCGCCTGAGCCAATGGTTTCTTAAGGTTCCAAGGTTTTATGCAGCTGAGCCTCCCCATGGGGGTGAGGCTCCACTTGCTTTTTCCCTTGATTTTCAAACTGGAGCTCGCAGAGGAAAGGAGAGAATGGGTGAAGTCTTTTACCCAGTGGGTATTCCTTCTACGTTCATAGATTCCCTATGGTCCTTGCTATGGTCCCTCGTTGACCACATGGGAGTTCTGATATGGGTGAAGCTCGATGCTGGATTTTTTAACAAGGACTTGGGCTGGGCTTTGTTCGTAGATGCTGGGTTATTGGTGTTCTTTTTTCCAGCAGCCCGCATGTTTTCGTCGAGCCGCTGGAAGTGGCCTATTTGTTTTGGGCGTTCTTAATTAATCGTGGGTTTGTCTAAGTGCTACAACAATCTATGAGATGTTCTCCTAAGGCATTGGGCCCCATTTTCCCTCTCTCATGCTAACCCATGTATTTGGGCCCGGGGAATGGGCTTGAGTTTTAGTGCTCCCAAGTGGCCTAAAACTTCCATTCCTTGGTCCCTCAATGGGCCCTGTGAGTGCTCGTACCCATCCATGCCACAACCTTCTCAGCAAGCCCCGGGTAATTACGTGGCTTGGGCCCTCTTAAGCTTGTAGCATGGCTTGATGGCATCGCGTGTTTATTTGTTGCGCTTGTGCTTGAGTTTTGTTGCACCATAATAAACCGAGGTCGAATTAAATAACACCGGATAGGTTCGTGAGCGTGAGTCTATAAGGCCGTCGTATTTTGACCCTTTCGTGCGCGCTCGCTTGGCGTGATTCGTGACCCATGACTTATGTAGGCGTGCCCTACAATTCCTTTTCATGTCCCCATTAGGCTTTTCTTGTAACTAATCATTTGTACCGGGCTAAGAATAAGTTTGGGGCCTAGCCCTTGGATTTTTGGGCCTCAACAGCCACATTCTTATAATTTATTGTCCAAATTTCAATAATAGCAAATCCAAAACTTACCCTTGAGTTTGGACTCACAAAGAACCTTTGAAGTGGGTTCGACTCTGTCCAAGAAGTCTGCAGCCGAGCAAGCCTCCCATAGTAGCATTGAGGTGCATCAAAGGCCATCTCTTCTCCTTTTAGAGGTTTGTGCCTCATATTCACACCCTTTTTTTTTTTTTTTTGATGAAGTCATATTCACACCCTTTAATTGAAGAAAGATGGAGAAAAATTTCTCTAGGTATAAAACCTTCAATCCTCGAAATAGTGGTAAGTAATTTTTTTGTTTTGTTTTTTTGGTTTAGAAACCCTTTTATCGAAAAGAAGAGAGAGGATTGTAAATTGGGGTCCACTTGACCCTTTGATTGCTTAGATTTTATTTTAAAAAGCATGTGGGGTGCACTTTGCCATGTAGGATGTTGATTGTGCTTAGCAATTGGCCACCGTGTGTACTTTTACCATAATGACCCTGCCACGTCAACATTTTCGACAATTTTTTGGATGGCGTTAACAACGGGGGGTAAAATGGAACAAGAAACCACAGTCAAAGTAGTTAAGTAGGCCACTTTAACTTTGATGGAGGAGGTAAAATAAGATTTGATCGAAATTTTAGGAAGTATTACGGTAAATAAGTCTTTTATTTATTTATTTATATTTAAATTTATTATTTTATTTTAAGGAACAAAAATATGACTCATTTAATTCGACCTCAAACCTCAATGATATATTTTTTTGAGTGCGATGGTCATGTGATTGTAGGAAAGTTAGGGTGAATTTTAGTAATATTCCCTTTTCCTGGTTGATTTAGAGTTTGATGGATTGCGTTTTGATTGAAGCTGTCAAATCAAAGTCCATGTCAAACAACAAAAGAAAGTAGTTACTAATATTTCTAAAAGTGGGCTCCGCTTTTCACTGTCAACCGTAGCTTGGAAGTGGTTCCCCAAACTTCCC